ACGGGCCCCGCCTAGGTCCGTCACTGAATATGCTCGTGTACTACACGGGTGTTGATAAAATAATTAAATGTACGGTAAAAAATAATATATGTATATATATATATATATATTGTTTAAGTTGGAAAAAATAAATAAGAACAACATATCACAATGATTAGAAAATAACTAAGTGAATTAACAATTATTTTAAATTATGAATATTATTTATATACATCATTAATTTTATTTATATTTTTTTATTTAAAACACATAAAGAAGTAATATGAACAAAACACCAAATTTTAAAAGTAAAATTATATGCACATTATAGAAAGGAGATAATAAATAGATTTATATGTAATGATTTAAATATATTAAATATGTGTATATATATAGTAATCAAACCTTAGTTATTTAGAATAAAAAATAATATTTTTTATCCAAGTCATATTACAAAACATAAGATTTTGTTTAAGATTACGAAATGTGCGAAATTGCCGCGAAACTGCCACTTAAATTCAACGCGTTCTGAAATAATATATAAGAGGGATTTGATATAAAATATATTAACGGATAAGGTTCGTAGGTAGAAACATAATATGTTGTAAATCGATAGTGTTTTTTTGTTGAAAAATAAATAAGTATGATTATTGTTCATTTAACATTTACGAAAATGTAGAAATAGAAAAGTGAGATAAATTAAACAGTAATTTCTTATAAAAAATTATTTCATTATTAGTCAATGAGATTATTTTATCTGGACAAATTGAAAAATCTTTTTTTATCCAATGGCACCATAATATCTTAATTTACCTTGCTTCGAAACAAGAATAAAAATAAAATAAAATAAATTCGGACAAACATTGAAACAAAATAAAATAAAATTCGATAAAATTTAGGGTGTATTTGTTTGATATTACAAGCGACGTTATGAGTATCTACGATTTGAAATTTTCAGATAATACAATCCGATAAAATTTAAGGTGTATTTGTTGATATTTCAAGTGACATTTTGAGACTTACGATTTTATGTTCTTTTATAATTTTTCAGATTTTGGAGTAATCTTATGAAATTTTAAGTCTGAATGTGAGATTTATAGAAAAATTTCGTATAAGTTGTTTTTTTTTCTTTCTTTTGACATCGCAACAAATTCTTAAAAATCATAATCTCAAATAAATTAAGATTTTGTATTTCGTAGATATTTTATTTGTAAATTAATAATTTTAGACTTTTAAAAATTTTAAATAATCTAAATAAAATACACTAAAATTTGTAAATTCTTAAGAAGTTTTAAAAGATGCAGATGAACACAACTCAATAAAGCTAATGGGATGAGAAGGAATATGACTAAAATGGGCAAATGCTGCCTATAAGACCAAGACTGCAGCTTTTTTCCACCTTTCGCTTTTTTTTTTTTTTTTTTTTATTATTTATTTACAGCAACAAAAGTCAAATTGCAATAATATAGGTTTTCAAAATTAATTTGTCCCTTTTTGCCTGAATGGTATAAAAGAAAGTTCATTAGTCAAATTATACAGCCTCTGAACTAAAGCTTATTTTTCAAAGCCAACAAATTTGACCATACATGGTATCAGAGCGCGAAGCTTACCCTTTTTTTTCTGTTTCTTACATGGTATTAGAGTCAATTCTATTAAGACTGTGTATTAATGTACCTGTTTCCCAGTTCATTTGAGCTTGAACACCCGGCGTCGTATATGGACTTGAGCTTTTTATAAAAAAACACAAATAAGTGAACGTATTAGAATATTCACTTGTAAGTTGTTTTACATCATAATATTTAGTGTTATATATCTATTTAGTTGTCCCACATAATAGCAATATTTAGTCATATATCATACTATGATATGATTAAATGTATTTAATATCATTGTTAACCAGAATTTATTTAATTGAAAGCAACAATACTATTTGTCATAGCATTTGTGTGTAAATAATAACACTAAGCAATATTAAAAACGGAGCATATATACAAATAATAATAGGGAAAAAAATCTTTTTCACCTCGTAATAAAGACAAATTAAGTTTTTCACACCGCCCAATAAAAAGCTTTTAGAGCATGTTTGTTTATGAATTTTTTGAGTTTGTTTGTATTTTTTTGTTTGTTTTGATTAATTTTAAAAAGGTAGTATGGTTAGTTGTTAGTGGGTATATTAAAAAAATATTTAAAATAAAATGATAAAATTAAATTGAAGTAAAAGTAGGAGAAAGAAGATGTGATGTGATAGTTAAAATTATGTGAGTAGATGAATAGTGAATTAATGTTGATGTGGTGTATATGAATGATTGATTGATATTATTTAATTATATTGATAATATTGATGATAGTGGGGTTGAGTTAAAGTTGAGTTAAAAAAAGTAGTTGAGTTAAAATGTTGGAAATTTTTTGGAAAATCTTATAAACAAACATGCTCTAAGTTTTTCACCTCACAAAGTGCGAAGGTTTATGCGAAAACTGTCGCATATTCATCGCATAACTGTCCATATGCGAAGGTTATGCGAAAAACTGTCGCATAACTGTCGCATATCAATTGCATAACTGTCGCATATTCATCGCACAATACCTTCGCATAGTTATGCAATTGATATGCGACAGTTTTTCGCATAACCTTCGCATATGGACAATTATGCGATGAATATGCGACAGTTTTCGCATAACCTTCGCACAGTTATGCAATTGATATGCGACAGTTATGCGACAATTTTTCGCATAACCTTCGCATATGGACAGTTATGCGATGAATATGCGACAGGTTTCGCATAACCTTCGCACTTTCCGGAGTGAAAAACTTAGCTTTTTATTGGGCGGTGTGAAAAACTTAACAAGACTTTAAAACATGGTGAAAATAGATATTTTAGTGAAAATCGTTATTTTCACCCCGTTTTGAAGTCCTATTAAATTTTTCACACCGCCCAATAAAAAACTAAGTTTTTCACCTCAGAAAGTGCGAAAGACATTGTACGATGAATATGTGACAATTGCGCGATGATATTGTGCAAAAGTTTTAAAGTGCGAAGGCATTCGCATATCCCATCGCATTTTTTAGGGTGAAAAAAAGTTAAAGTGCGAAGACATTGAGCGATGAATATGCGACAATTATGCAATTGAAATGCGACAGTTATGCGATAATTTTCGCATAACCTTCGCATATGTGACAGTTATGCGATGAATATGCGACAGTTTTCGCATAACTTTTATACTTTTCAAGGTGAACTTAGCTTTTTATTGAGCGATGTAAAAAATTTAATGTATCTTTGTATTGGGATGAAAAACATTTTTTCCCTAATAATAACACCACATCATACACACTAGACTTGTATATTTATTTTATTTAAAACAACCTCTCATATACAATTTTTTAACTCAAAATTCAAATTTTATCCAAATTAACTTTCTTTAATATTATTTATATAATTAAATAATATTAATAAATTATTACTGCTCAAAAATTTTAACTTCTAATTATTACTTTACGACTTTTACATTACAGTAATCATTACATTATAAATTATAGTACATTTACAAATTCAACATCAAATTCAAATTTTTCACTCATCCAACTTTATTTTATCAATAAATAGTAGATAGGTTGACCAAGGACTAAGGCATGCACATGGCTATATAAAATTTAACTATTTGTATTTTTTTAGTAACATATCAAGAAATAGAAGTACACTCCTCAAATTCAAAGTGACAATTCTATTCGCCACATAATTAATGCTATTTTGTGATATTAATTAATACTAAAAAAAATAAACCCAATGTTTAGAAAATTAACCAATGAAGTCAGCTTCTTGCATTTCAAGCAATTGTATGTAACAGCCTACTAGACATGGCCACGGGCGGCCCGTCCCGTGGCCCGACCCGTGACCCGGTACCGGCCCGGCACGACCCGATACCGGTACCAGCATAAATAGTGCCGGGTTCGATAACCGAACCGCAGCCAATCCGGTCCGGTTAAGGGTCACGGTTTTTTTTTTTTTTTG